TACGATACCCTCATCTCCTTTGCAAAACTGGGTAGCCTTGGTAGGTTCAAACATTATGCGGACATTCCATGTCCCCACGTTTACTCTCGCTTTCATCGAGAGAAAACACATCGGCCAATTGGCTTCCCGAAGGCTTTCACCAACTGGCGTCATTTCGCCTTTCCGATTCCATCGAGGAACAATACTGCTCTCATTTTTTATATTTTGTTTGTGCTTTGAAGTTTCTGTAGCGGATGGATTGGTTTTACGGGGTATGGTTGCTAGCCTTACGCCCAACCTTCCCTCTTAGGCCCGGCTAGTAACTAGTGAACTAGTTAACCAGGCGAGGTTAGGTCTACAGATGCTAAGACCGAAATACTAATTTAGTGTAATCGGTTACCGAATTTTCTGAAAGCGATTCTATCAGTCAATCATAAACAAAAATGGATATATCGTCTACTGAGATGACGTAACTATGAGTCGATTTGATAACAGACTGTAAAAATCCACAAGAAAATTAAAACGTCCCAATATGGAAAAGAAAAAATCAGCGTATGAACACAAAGATTTATATATAGAAGGACACTGACTGCAAAATGGTTTGTCAAACACGTTGAAATTTCCATTCCTGAGTGTCGCACGATCATTTAAGTGGGAGATAAGATATTGCCACACCTGTCCAACCCTTTAACTTAGAGATCACTTCACAATGCAATCAAGTAGTGTCAGAAACTATGTACGTATGATCATCGCAGACAAATATACGTCTTTCAACAGAATCTCTATCTACTTCTATGTTGATTAACTGCCTTAAAAAATTCGATAATTTGAGTTAATTGTCATTCAAGACAAACTGACAACTGATTATTAAATTTGACTCTTCGATAGCTTTCATAGGTATGAAGTCTGTCATCCGAACGCACGGGCTGACAATGTTGTGCAGCATGACAACATACGCTTGATAACCAAATAATGCAGCACAGAAAACCGGAATCATCAAGAAGTGTTTCAACAATTTATTAGGAAGTTAAACCAGTTGACTACCAACCAATGGATCATGTGCCTGAACACAGTTCTACCTACCAAAGTTTGGGCAACCAGATAGTATCATTAACCTATACACAATACGTATGGGTCAATACCTTCTGCCCGGACGTAAGCAAGGTTGTTGAATGAGTTTGGGTATTGGGAGGACAGCATATAGTATAGTGTAAATCTACTCAAGAACACCTCTACGTACAATCCGGAGCCAAACTGATTGTGTATAGGCTTATGATACTACCCAGTTACCTAAACGAAGTGAAGTAAGGTTTTCGCCTTGAACTCAATTCTTGTAAAATGAGCAATCAAGACAATGAGCCACGTCGCGATATAGGTAGAATCAATGTAAGAGAGATTTTACACCTCAAACTAGCATACCAGCAAAGCCTCAACTAACAACAAGATGAATAACAAACGTGCAAAAACTATTTTGTAAAAATAGCTGTATATACACAACACAATTATCGATTACAATTATCACATACATGCATATTTATTCAAGTTTTACATCACAAAGACAAAAACACTTATTCTTTGAGTATGACATGAAAGCAGTTTCATATGAAGCGATATTGACTGAAAGAAGCCTCTAGTCAACTTTAAACATAACTAGCACTTGTAGAATAAGAATTGAAGTGGAATCAAACTGCTACAAAATCAATCAAAAATAACTCCAAAAACGATCATGAGAATTATTGAATCACCTTAAAGATTTAGAGTGAACGAAATGATTGATGCATAAACTAATAAATTTACAATTTAGTATCCTCTAGAGAACATTGAATTTATTGTAAGTTGAAGTTAATTATTACACTATAACAATTTTACATGAACAGAATATTACTAACATAATACTGTCGAAGCTGTAAAGATTAGTTATCATTACCGCTAATACAAATTTAAATTACAAATCATCAGTGGGAAAACATAAATGCAAATAAAGTTGAGTTAGTCAGCAAATGTAATGAGTGAATTGAGAATAAACTTTAACAATAACAGAAAACTTTTATTTTATTTCCATCTTAAAACTGACTTTTTACAAGTCAAGAATGAATTCCTTTACAAAGTGAGTAGGTAGTATAAAATTCCAAACCCCTTGATAACATGAATTTTGACAACAGATTAAATGGTCACTTATACGATTTGATCTCACCTATTTGCATACACAGAGTATAAATATCATCAAAAAAGCAACACACTAGGTCAACTAACTGAGATAAAAAATTTAAATTTATATGCAAATCAGATGACTGAAGGTTAACGGTGAACCTTCTTGTGATTCTCGTTGTTAAACAGATATAAACCTATGAGTCAACTCATTATCAGATCCTTTTGTTCAGTGCTAGCGTTCCGAAGTGAAGAAATTCACTTCAGTGCGGGTGACGAAAGAGATAATCAGAGGTACATATACCTTCTGAGATACCTAACTTATCAGCTTAGGAAGTTTCTTACGGCGAAATACTGTTTGATATGTCATGGGCCACGTGATAGTGTGAGCTGTAGGCTATATGCCTGTTGTTTCTCCCGGAATTGACAACAATACTTCCGTTTCTCTAGAGTAGGTTGCAGTTAAATGAGGTCCACAGTGATGACTGAACCAGCGGTCGCTAACTAATGTTCAAAGCGATGAAGCCTGTATCATCACTCCTGTCTGGGGAATGAGTCTTCAGAAGTAGCCACCGATTGACTCCTGAACCTGGTCAATTGTCTGCTAACTACTCATGCATAAGGGCCGACATGCCTGGGTGCCAATGTTCAATCTCGGCGGGATACGGGTTTGTATTGCCTGAGTCTGAGATACAATCGGCCTTAGCAAGATAACCCAGGTCAGGCGCTCGCTGCAATCCTTGTTAAGGAGACAAATGTAGATGCCCAGCACCCTGGGTGTTGCTTCGTTAAGAAACTAGGTTAGACCTGTAAAACCGAAATATCTGTAAGAAAAATTACCAAATAAACAAGAAGTGAAACGATCTGTATCAATAAGGTAGTTAGTTAAACAAGCATTGTAGGTTCGACTAAATGTAAAAACCTTGTAAATGAAAAAGGTAATTTGATAATCTTTCCAGATTAGAGCTGACGGAAAAGTAAGTCATACCTAAATCTCGTTAACAACTTTTTGTACCGTTCAAAATGAGAAAATCTTTTACAGGCATAATAGTTGAAAGTTACTGACTTCAGAACTCATTTCTAAGCTTTTAGAAAGCACCCTGTATAAGCTGCTACAAATCTATAGGCATCAGATATAAAGACTTCAAACTGAATGGAGAATCTGCAATTATAAAACGGTTCAGAGAAAATGATTCCCGTCACTTGACGAAAACTTTGTTTTCAGATACACAATAGAAGTTTTCAACTTCTGAAGTATAAAAGTACCAACGCTGATTTCTAGAATCTGTTAGAACTACAAACATTCAGCACATTCTCTTGTGCGTACCTACCTACCTATGACACCTACGTCCATGTGCTATGCTAGGGGAAGTTGGATTAGTTTAGAAGAGCGTCCAGGGTGGTCAAACCAACACATGGGCACCAATTCATGAAATCTTAGATTGTTGGTCTGAGTCATGTGGGGAAATGTAGATTGCCTCGTTGGAGTCCGCGGGATGCCAAGAATCAGTGGTGGATTACTGTTGGTGACATAGCTGAAAATCGGTCACAGTGGAGTAAATTTATTCACTCCTCGACATATCATAAAGCTTGCATATTTGAATTAACTGCTACCTGCAAACTGTTTATTGTCTCACACAACCTTTTCTACTTTGGTATCACTTTTTTCCATTCACTTGTTCTTTGTACACTATTGTGAAGTGTGGTAATTTGAACAGATGCACTTGTATGAGAGGTTCCACTTTGATTTTGTCTGTCGTAAGCGTACGATTAAGACGGGCAGGATTAAAACAAGGAGAAATAAGCAAAGGTGTCAAACACCTACAAGCTTTTTTAAAAGTCCATGCTTCTTAAAATAGTCGGTCTACATTTAAAACTGCTTCTCTTCAAGACGCTTTGATACTAGTTATGAGGTGCAATTCTAAACTTCTAACGTATAAACCGTTCACTTCTAGATTTCATAAACAACAATCGGAAGAATATATATATATATATAAAAGAGAAAAAGGATGGTTCCTCATCAGCTATCAAAGTCCACGAGTAAATAATCTTAATAACTACCAGACTCGGCGAACAATCTCATGAACTAGAGATTTTCAATTAGTCTACTATTGCATTGATTTTGAAGAATGTGTTGTCGACAGCAAAAAAAACATCAAAACTAGTGTAGTGTGATGTCTAGTAGCTTGACTCGTTGGTTAAATGCACCCGTGCCATGAAGAAATATCCATCTACTAGAGAACTTTCTCCAACGACTACAGAGAAAGAATATAGAGTAGACATTTCTCACGGTAGCCCAAGTCAATAGACATTATTGCTTCTTCTTACATTGTTGAATGATGTGAACGGAAGGTACTCAATAAAAACACGAAAAAAAAATGAAATAATCACTTAAGTTGCTGCAAGATCATAATCTTACTTAAGATCACACCCTTTATCAATACTCAAGCTTCTTTGACGATATCACTGGAAATGTTTGTTGTAACACTTGTTAAACACTACATAACACTATTTCACATGAAACATGACACTGAAATTCGCTAATTACCTCAAGACATTAAACAATTTGTAAAGTCTTTGTATCTATCTGTCTACTGAGTAAAAAGTTAACTTCGCTGTTGTCTCTATATCCTCTAGTTATAACACACCACAGTATCCTAATATTCACTGAAGAGGATTAGCTTCCGTTCATTGACGTGTTTAGTGTAGTAAGACTATTTATAAGCGTCATGCAGACACACCATTGGTGAAAAACACGATTATACCACAATAGAAGTATGTATTCAACTTATAAGCAAATATAACATGAGCAACATATCGCCTTCGAATGAGATAGACAATAAAACGTAACATTTGTTGAGGATCACATGATTTTATTCTGATTGTTTCTTTTTAGGTTTCTTCTTACGTTTCTTCTTGGAATCAGTTGATTCAGGAGTACTACAGTGTAAATTGACAGACTCATCATCACCCACATCTTTATTCTCAATGTGTAAATCATTCTTATGATGTACCATAACAGAATCTGCTACAGGATGTACAACAGCAAGAGGTTTGTCAACGACGATTTTCTCAGCGTTATCATTCTGACCTGTAAGGGAAAGTAAACCTAATTTATCTTCAATTTTCTTCTGAACTTCAGCAATCTGAGAAATAGCATTGACAATACCAGTTTCAGTGGCTCCAGCCAGAGAATTAATTTTCTCACTAAGTTCATTGAATGAATTTATGTCTCGAGTAGTCGTTGAAGATTGATCACCAAATGTCACCGGAATATCTCCATTAATAGCAGGTATCTTATCTTCATGGCCTATGAACGGTATAAAGCTTTGATATTCTATAAGATAGATAGAGGAGTAAAATAAATCATACAAATGAAATAAAAACAACTTATGAACAGTTCAAATGTCATTTAACATATCGTTAAAAGGAAGATGAAATATTATGATATACACTGAGAGAGTTAGTGAGGAGTGTCATGGTTTACATACTGAAAAGGATACGGACTAAACAAAATGAACTACCTAACATCACAATAAGTATCGAGAAGCCAAACGAAAATTCGTCAGATAAGTAAGATAGAGTAGCACATGTCGATGAACACAACATTCTAGGCTTCGGTAAAGCAATACATCAACTAATACTTCCCTTGTATAACATTATTGGTTAGAAATGTGGCGTTACTTTATTCGAAGTTAGTATATTGCTCATCCAACTAGCTTGATACAATCTCATCATTAGTCATTTTTCTTTGATAGATCACTCATTTGTGTTTTAAGAAACAACCTGCTATCATACAAAGCGTAAATCATCTTCGAGTCAAACAACACTGGTAATAAACTGTGAGTGTATGCATAAATCATATGGCTTTATGAGAAGCACAGCATGTGGCATCCAACTAACAATCGTCTTATTCACATAATCAAAAACGTTAAGGTGAGTAAGGCTAGTTACCTCATAACGAATTGTTACAGTATGATAAACATAAAACAACCAAAACATTACCACAACAACAGGATTCTCACATGAATCATAAATAGTTGAGATGAATGAAAACAACTACGGACTCCCATCCAGTCATATACAGTATAAAAAAAACACTAAATAAACTAGGAATGAAAAAACGAAACTGCATCAACATCATCCAACTAAATCTTATGACAAGTATTTCTTTTCTTTTCAATACATAAGTGATCTTGAAAAGTCATGGATACATTAGATTCATCAAGTAGTCATGCGACTAAAATAGATGAGTATAGGTCTGTGATAACCACTTTCGCATCAGGATACAATTTTCATAGTGTTCAGAGGATTACGAAGATGACTGTGCACTATAGAGTCATGAGTTGGAAACTCACTCCACCTACCGAGATTTGGGAATCAGTCAGGTAGTAAGACTAGTCATCACATAATAGGTGTGGTGTGGTGTGGTGTGGTTCACTGTCTCCTGCATGGAGGTGCACAAGGTTGCTGAGGGCACTTCTTCTCCTTATTTTGTTTGTTAGTACAACATAGAACCTCTAAAAGATGCGGAAATGATGTTGTTGAAAATGACTTTGTAAATATTCTCCTGTTATCGATAACCAGAGATAGTGAGTGTTGTTTGAATAGCTGAGTGAAGATGCTACACATACAGTAATTGATGTTGGGTTGGTGAGTACTGTTATTTTTGACACATCTATTCATTAGTGTAATCATATCATTTTGATAGGAATAACAGTCACAGAGCCTGTAGGAAAAAAACCTGAGAATCAAAGGGTAGAAGTTAACTTATTAAATATGTGGTATATCAAGGTGATGAATGTTCCCGGCTTTACCGAAACTAATATCGAGACAGAAGTTGATGAGGAGCAAACCATTGTCAACGTGAAGCTTAGTTTCTTAATGCCTCACGGATTAATAAGTAATGCATGCTAATGGGTATGAATGAATGTAGAGAACCAAGAATGGAATCGAAATCTCCATAGCAACCTTGTGCACATGCATGCCGTGTGCAATGAGCCAAATTCAGTGTGTGAGGGATATTGATACTACCTGGCTTCCCAAACTTATATACATAGAGCGTTGTTCGAACCGGTAGACATACTTTAAAAGTCCTACAGTAATAGCTCATGTAAGTATATAACAAAGAACATGAAAACGCGTAGACCGTTTGAGAAAATTCAACAAAGCTACTTCATTTTAATATTAAGTCGCCGATGTGACTTCGTGGGGTAATATAAGCACTGCAATCAGAACATCTATCTCAAGGAATACAACAGTATCAAACACGGAAATGTTAATTTGTGATAAACTTCATTGTAAAGAGAAGCCAGGTTTCCAACCGAAAACTTATTTTCCAACCTAACAAGCTACTGAATAGTTAAATAAGTAGTATGAAAGTAGAAAGATTGTAAACATTTGGAAACAAAAAATGCGATAAAGTAGTATAGGTGACAAGCAACGAAATAATAGTCAACAGTTGTTTCGAAACAACTTTTTATGATTTTAAATGATATCGTTGTATTTCACTCTTTATCTCGACATCACCTGTATCAGTACACACATGATAGTGTTATTTTAGTGGGAGGCGATTGCTACGTCACAGTATTAATTTCAGGGTAAGTATACAGAGGCTCCTTCGAAATATTTGCACGAATATCTTAGTGTGAATAGAGAAATCATTTTAAACCAATCTAACATAAAAGACTTCCGCATGGTATGTATGCAAACTGGGTCGTGGAACTTCTGTATGGCTTAATGACTGTGCTATATATGGGCTTTTACTACAACGCCACATACCCCCATAGACTATGTAGAACGACAAATCTTCCAACGAGAACAAACGGTTGAATACGTTCTTAACTGATATACTAAAACAGTTATTCTATCAACGACAAATCTTCTTGTACCGTTAATGACAGCTTGATGTTTTTGGCATGCAAAGTGGTGCTTCACACACTACTTCATACCAATTTCGAAATCAGCTCCAGATTAGTTGCTTATACTGCACGGATGGAACCGACTATCTGAAGCTGTCCTCGCTTACAAAATATGAGCCAGAATATATTAAACTGTATCAACTGCCGACTCCATTACCAGAAGACCAAGAATGTATCACGTATACGACTTGAATTCTGCTCGTGCTTAGTCTGCAAATTGAACCAACTTCATAGTCTACACATGAAATTTCTTACCTCATATCTACACTCGAAAATGCAACCGGATGGTTTGTTATTACCTCCCAAAAGACATTAACGAAGGCGAGTCAGGTGGGCATGCATCAGAAATATAACCATCTCAACAACTCAACGATCCTTAGTCAGACTGTGTCGGATTGAAGGGTTCTCATCAAAATTCTATTACGACGGAAGTTAGACAAACAAAATCAACATAGAACCATACACAGAAGTTGCCAAGCTTCCGAGTAGCATGCAAAGAACAAGTGGGCAGAGAAAGAGCGATATCTAGGTAGCGAAAGGCGTATAGGAGAAGAAAATTGTAAATAAAAGTTGGCAAAACTGTTCGAGAGAGAGAAAGAGAGCAATAATAAATATGGTGATTGCAACATACCTAAGAGGGAATTCAAACCCTCTGTAGTGTTGCCGTAATAAATAATACGGTACCACTGTGTGCTATGCTATCTCAAATACACGACCTAATATAGGATTACACTCTATTATAGTGCCTAAGTTCCACTACTGCTCTTACTCTTAATAACACATCAAAAAATTACTAACTTCTTGGCATTAGGGATTTCAGAACTTCTGGCACGATAATCCCATGCTCAGTTTGATAATTCTCCAAAATTGCACAGATTACACGAGTAGTCGCACACATTGTTGCATTGAGCATATGTACATATTCAACCTAAGAATACACAGTAATAGATTACAAAATTAGACATTTTTATGCAAAAATAAAGACTATTGAAGAAGAAAAAAGAGCATTCCAACTCAATTCCTTAGTTATGAAAGGGTATATATGACGAAAAGGCAGGTTACAACAATCTTTTGAAGCTAGAATTGCTTATGGTGACATTTAAAAACATTCATAATGTCCCTTCAGTTAATTACTTTCACAGAAAGTAAGATGTTACGCCAAAAAACATTTCACAAATACAATCCACTAGACAGGGTGATAATGATAATAATGCAAAATCAAGACATCTATAAGATCATTCTTAAACGTGCGCATAAACAGACACAAAAAGTCTCAAAAACATAGAAGTACTGGACAGATATGATGACGGTTCAAGATTACTAGGTAGGGAATAATCTAAGTCTATTTTAGGATCAAAATGAGAACTGATGCATTCAAAATAGTTACCGCAGAGTAATCGATTTCATTTTGTCTAATGCTGAATGCTGATCAAATCCTATTGTTCATTTTGTAATGTGGCCACCAAGCTAGGAGACTGACCATCACGGCAGGGCTTATCGTTGATTGCTTCCAACCAACGAACATTTACCGGTGTTGATTATGTTAAATTCTAACGATCTACTTCAAGGAATGTCCACTCCGGGAATTGTTGAGACTTAAATTCCAACGACAGTTGTCGCATTTCCACCGACTTACAGCGGTTCTTCCACAGAAGTTAAAATATATATATTGAAAACTCTGTTTAAAACTAATCACGTACCCACGTATAAAAACCAAATGAAGCATAATTTGGGATAATAAGCAATTTTCCAGTCAAGAGAATAAGCGGAAACAGAAGATAGTACTAATGGAATATGAGATAGATAAGAAAAATACAGTACTAAGCTGATGCTCAACTCTAAAGGGTAAATGGTTGTTAAGATTGCTTATGAGCCCTAAAATTAAGTTTCAAATCACTCATTTCATTTATACGACAAGTGTCCTGTAAGAAAACAATACTGTTCGAGGTATCAAAGTGGTTCATATGATACATATCTTCACACTCTGAAAGGTACCTAGAGACGACATTGGATTAGTAGGGATAGTTTTATAAAAATTTGAACCCCAAGGGGGTAGTTATTCGAAGTTGATCACAATCTCTCTTTCAAAGATCTTAATTTGCTAGTGTAAAATCTTTTTGAAACTTTTTACCTTTGGTAAAAGAACGCCATGAGAAAAAAAAGGGACTGGTATATTACAGAAAGTGATTTATTCCTTTTCAAAGTTGTCCCCTTAAGCAGAAAGAGGAATTTGATCAATTCACTTTCTTCAAGAATAAGAAGAATATCTACGCAGGATACAATCGATGGCGAACTAGAAAACTTGCAAGGAATCATGATAGGAAATGAATTTCCAGTAAAGTTAGCAGACAAGAATCGAAAGCTAAATAACGTCATGGAACGCTTAAATATTGTTCCAAAATTTTTTTAGTCATGAACCTAGAATTCAAGGCATATATCTTTAGGAAGAAACAATCAACATCCATAAACAAAACACATTTAACCACCAAACTTACGGTCAAATTATCCCGACAGTAACTTATTCGTTAGTGTATGGAGGATATGCTGGAGCAATGAGCCACATCAGTGTATGTATTAACTTACTTGCTCGTTTGGAGCCGAGTACATCGATCCTACCGTGCGCATGCATCTGAAATACGTTCGCAAACACCACCCAACCCGATTGGCATGGGAAAACAGAAATGCATCTTCAGCTCTGTAATAGGATCCTTAGTAAACTCAAAACACCTGATTCCTTTTGATAAGTCCTTGAGAATGCTGTACAAACCAATCGAAAGAAGTAAGGTTGAGACATCTGGGTATAGCTGGAGCATTAGTAATCCAAAAGTCCAAACCATCATTACACCTTCAAACGAGGTACGCAGAACCATGGTCATCGCAGATCAATCACTCCAGATATGATATGACGTAAGTATATTTCATTTTGTAATCATTTAGTTTATTTCTCCATTTTAAACGCTGATAAAGATCATTTAACTTTCCTTTGTCGTACAACTTATTTTGGCCATTGGCTAGAAATTACTCTAGAAAGTTCTGTCGTTTCTACTATATTATACAGCTGAGAAAATGACTTCGTTGCAAAAGAAAATTTTTCATCACTGCAATCGCCTTCTTTCTTTTCCTATGATGACTACTTCAGGGCAGATCTTAACCCTTCCTAAGACTAAGGGAACGTGACATCAGTTGGGAATAGTCATCCATAGAAAACACCTTAATATTTTCGCATTCCAATCCAACCAACTATACGACTTAGACCATGGACTACGTTACTTCATGTTTCGATTGTGGAATTATGAAATTAGGCCTGTATACATACGTTGAAAGCCAGAAGTCAATATTCTTATCTTCGTCTAATCACGATGAGACTTCATACAACCCTTCATTACGATCAAAATTATACCTTCGAGGCTTTCAAACCAAATGCTTCAGATGCATTAAATCCAATCAGGTTCAGTCATTAATTACAGACTTGTAAACCAGTTTGCAAACTGAACCTATGACACTAATTGATCATCGGAACTTCGGTAAAATGCAGCATGACCTACCACTAATCAAAAGTCGAGTTTCTAAGCCAATGAAATGGAAAATAAGTAGAAATCAGTTCATATAAGTTCACAGTTTGATTAGGCGGTTTACATGCCTCACTTAGAACACTATAACTAATTAAGACACTTCGCAACACTTTCAGTCAACTGGTAAAACGCTAAGGAAACTTAAAAAACGTATATTCTTTATAGGTAAACCTGATTGATCTGTTTTTCTACTTCCGTAAGTGCTAAAAAGACAACTTAAAATGATCTCTTACAATTTTGACCAACATTGTATGTTATTAAACATTTCCAATATGTTATGGAAAAAGCGAATATCAAAGTATAAGAATAAATCAAGCATAGCACGGAATTCCTTACACTTTGGTTCATTTTCTTTGTTTGACCGAAACGGATTGCTAGTCGACGAGATTGATAGTCCAAACAATTACTGCAAGACACAAGTTCTCTAAAGGCACCAGAACCAGGAAACCAACCTTCTAAATCATATTTCATGGCTGCAGCATTATTAAGTTCTCCAGATACAATAGAGACAATGCGATAAGGTAATCCTAGGGCCTAAAAATGCAGTAATAAACACAAAAATTTCAAAGTTTACCAGTGAAATACTACAATGTACAGTGAAGTACAGTACTGTTGGCAGTTTGCTTGTGGATAAAGTTTCAAGTTTTATATACCGTATATGCACAACACTAAGACGGGGTGTGGATTTTGAGTCAGTAAATCTAAAAGACTACTAGTGAAATCTCTGAGCTAATAATATGAATTTTCAAGTGTGAGAGATCTCTCTACTCAAACACTTGTAGGCGTGTTAGAGCCTATGGTGAGATGTTCAGGGAGCTGCACTCGTCGAGTGCTGTCCGTCAAGAGTGCCCACTCTCTCCATTCTTATTCAATCTCATCATAGATATTTTTATGGAGGTCTCTCTCTCTCGTCATCTGATTACACACACGTTGACCTAATCGCAGGAGAATTTCCGTTAGACCCAGAATATGCAGATGACATAGTCCTGTTAAGTGAAGACACTGACAAGATGCAGTCTTCTGAAAACCCTGAGTGGCAATTTGAGAATGTTTGGGATGCATTTCTCACCACCCACATGTAAATTGGTGCTCCACGATTGGTCTTCAACCGTGCCCCACTGCGGCTAACAATAGAGAGTGTAGTGGTTGAGTGTGTTGACCACTTCACTTAGCTGGGAAGTAGGATCAGCCCTGCCCTGGTGGCTCAGTGGTCGATGAAATCTCTGCACGAATACAAAAGACTCGGTTAGCTTTTGCCAACTTACGACACCTATGGCGTCGACTTGATATCCGATTGTCTATCAAGGGTAGCATGTACTGCATAGCAGTCCACTCTGTTCTACTGTATGGCTATGAAACATGACCATTGAAGGTGGAAGACATGAGAAGGCTTCAAGCGTTTGACCACCGTTACCTTCGTAGTATAGGCAGCCGTATTCCGTAGTGTCACCACGTGAGTAACACAAAAGTCAGGTGTAGAGTTTTAAGGAGAAGAGGTAAATCAGTTGACACAGTTGTGAACCTTCATCGACTGAAATGGCTGGTTGGGACATGTGTTACACATGACTGGTCACCGTCTGCCTCGTCACAAAATGTTAGCCAAAGTAAGTTCAGGTTGGGAAGAGGCTCGGGGTGACCAGACTAAAACGTGCCATCAATGCATGAAGTATTTGACTGTTACTTTCAGCCATGTGGGACGATGCAGACTAGCCGGTTGGAGTCCACGCGACAAGAGGAACCAGTGTTTGGAGACTGACTCTAGGTGATCACATGGCTCAGAACCGATGTCAGTGGTGCAAATGTATACACACATTATCCCCAGCTTAATGTTTTACCAAATTTCACTATTTTCTCATTCTTTCTTTCTCTCTTTTAGTATTTTATGTTTCTTTCGACTGAATTTTATTTTCTTCATCCTCCACTTTGTTGCCTTTTTACTTGATGTACTGATGTGAGCTGTGGCAAATCGTACTGTTACGCAGTAATGCCTGGGTCCTATCTTGATTTGGATAGGTGGTGTGCGAAATCGAAATGAAATGCACTCAGTAGCCTTGTGCCCATATTCATGCTGTAGGCAATGAGTCGCACCTTAAGTGTAAGGGCTACTGAAACCACCTGGCTGCCAAAATCTCAATAGGTAGAGCGAGGCTTGAACCTATGACTCATCAGTTGAAAGTCATCTTTCTAAACCAATGAGCCATAGCTCATTTGCTAGTGTAAATAATCATATTACTCTATATGAAATGATGATCATCATTCAAGATACAAAACAAATTACTGACGTCTTGAAGTTTCATTTTGTGGCATACTTTGAAGTGATGGCGTAACACTGAGCTGAAGCACTGTCGACTCGTTTACTATAATGGGCATAAATTTCTTTGAATAGACTTCTAGAGAAAATGAAATCAAACTGAAAGGAGATCGTATGTCTACACTTTTCGCTGTGTCGACTTTCGCAAGTATATTTTTCAATATACCAGTTCTATTGGAACATTTCATATCAGCTAACTAACAGCAACAACAATGAGTATCCTATAAATAGACTTGCAGGAAATTAGGAAACTTCTAGGTAATCTTTTGGCACAACAGGTTAGTAACATATAAATCAATGTCTTTTCAATGCAATGTAAAGATAGGAATTATAATAGATCTATTGTACCACTAAACAAAAGAAAACAATAGCAGACTAACTTGGTGAAAATCTTCAGCATTAGAAATCATATGATTAAACATCTCCCAGGATAAATTGTCATGTGGGCTAGTAATACAGAACTGTTCAACCTATAATGAAAATAGTGTGAAAATGCTTTAAGAAAGAGAAAAGGAAATAATTCCCGCCAACAAAACACAAAATCTGGAAAATGCTAAAATGTTTTAAGAGGGTAACAGAAACTTTATTATACTTACTTGTCAGCATTCTCAAAATGATTAAGAATATTTCAAACCTGGTAAACCTGAAGACAAATACTCAACGATGACATTGAGTGATGGCCACACCATGTCCTGAACTGGCAGAAGTTGGAAATACGGACCACTGGATGCGCACTGCTGAGAAGTCCCATACTAGGAGGAAACAGCTGTCTATTGCCCTCCGACTTCCAATGTTCCTCTGACTGACGTCAGTCCATGATGAATACCAACTTGGAAAATCACTAAATCCCCACAAACCAAGATAAATTTCGAAAACCGAATACTACTAGCTTAAAAATTTAAAGTTACTAGAAGATGCTTAAAACGAATGTACATATATTCGCGTACAACATATCCGGAAACGTCAAGTGGAATCTAAAGAAGCACTTTTATGTCCTGATATAAAAACATGGTCAGTACAAGATATACAATGTGAACGCATAAACGTCTATTCCTAATCCAATTCCTTATGTTTATGCTGATAAGGTGTGAAGAAACTTGAGTGCTGACAGAGTTGTGAGGGCGGTTGGCACTTCCCGGCTGCCCACACCGTGGAAGTCTATTTCTTCTTAAGGTACCTGAAAGAGATTTGTGTGACCGCAGAGTCCGTCGGACATCTCCTTGAAGCCTGTCACAAGCGGCCTTTTGTGTATGGTTGTTGTTTTGGGGCCGGGTGGTCGAAAAGAAACGACAAATGAACCAACATCGCCAGCCCGGCAGACTATGAGGCATGGTTGAGTGTTATTTCGGGGGCCGACCTTTTTTAATCCCCTTTCGACTGAGAAGGCAGCATCAGCATGGGCACTGCTGGTCATCCAAGGGAAACACCTTACTGCTGTCATACACCATCCAGCCAGCAGCAGTATGACTTCGCCCTCAGACCCCCATCATAGTGTGGCAATTCGCACCACAACGGTAACTGCTTTTCGTTTAACCACTACCCAACAGACTTTTCTTGTATGGTAGGACCTCGAGGGAACAAGTGTTCCACCAGCATAGCTCTTTGGGTTATTGTGATATACAAGCCCGACTATCACGTCAAGGTAGCAGCTATCGGTCGGAACTAATAGGGTAAGCGGTACTGGTGACATTAGAAGGCGGAAAATTTAGTTATATGGAGCTAGTCTTGCCTAAATACACGGCAAGGTATCGACTACAACTTTGGAGTGAGTACTTACTAGCTTAGTGAGTGTTCCAGCTCAAGTTGTGGAGGTCCACTTGGTTATAGAACACACTATCGTCTCATATACTAATATATCAGTTATAACGATGTGTGAATGAGGTGACTTTACACTGGTAACCATCATCCAATCCCCTTAATATGAATGCTCACTACAAACATTCCCATACTAACTGCATAGTACAAATTGAAAATGGTTTGAAAAGCAATGATAAACAACATTCTTTGGTTTTAATAACCTGCTTTATGGTTCAACCATATTTATCCCAGTCCATGTAGCATGATAGTTCCACATTAAACGTCGTTTCCTTGTGAAGTACAACTTCAAGGACTAGTGTTTTAGACTCTTCAATGTATATCAGTTAAAGTAGTTTTGAAAAGATCGCACTTTTACCTACTTCAATATTGTTCTCTTTCACTGCACATTCTCTCTGCTTGTTGCTATGAAGTGTGGTTACTTTAACCAAGGCACTTGTGTGCCAGATTCTGAGTTCATTTGTCTATTTGTTCAAAAGATCTGAAATCGGAAAACACTAAATGTGGACGAGTAAAAAACGCTATGCTTACTAAACACAAATCACACTGAAATTTATCAGGAGCAGAACTCCTTCCTACATTTTGTCAAACGTTTCTAAGATGTATATGGAGTACTTTTCAAAGATCAACTATATTGCAGCAATCCATCTTCCACATGATTAAAGTACCTTTTCAAACTGATGGACACGAAATATTCCGCGAGTATCACGACCGTGGCTGCCTACTTCCTGTCGGAAACACGTTGAAATACCAGCATACTTAATTGGCAATTGATTGATAGGCAACCATTCATCTTGATGAAATGCGGCAATTGGCTGTTCAGAAGTTGCAATTAAATATTTCTCTTCTTCATCATTTCCATGCACTTGTGAATCATGATCAGTCGCAGTAGTGAGCTCACGACGACCAGTAACCTGGAATATTTAAAATCATAAAAACCAACAGCAATTTAGTAACTACACAAATAATAATGCATCACGCTATAGATCACAGCTAGTAGGAACAAATTAACATCTCGTCACCGAAACCAGATTCGGTGATTTGATTCTTGCTGCTCGCTGGTGACCAAATGGCTTGTAATCAGAAGAAACTTGAACTTCCAAATTACCCTATCCCATGAGCTTCTTTGTCAAAGCTGTTTTCTGATGTCAGGACTGTTGGTAAGAAGTGAAGGTGGTCAATTTGTTACATGGTGTTATGGAATGAAGGATAATTCTGATACATTTAAATATCAGTTCATCACGACTCTTTAGTTAAGATCTAAAAGACTATAAAACAAAAAAACTTGATGACCTAGACAAACCAAATCCAATGACTACCCTCCCTTTCCATGAAAGCTTCTTTGATTAATGACTGTTTATCTCCTGACAATAAATATCTCCTTCTACACTTTCATCATATTATACCTCTGAGGTATGCAGTTTTGATTATTCTTGCTGTGCCGGGTTGGTTTTAGGTTAATATAATGGAACTGCCTCATATCCTTCAACATAATGAGACACCTAAAACTATCCTATGACTGAAGTTCAATATTCTCGATAATTGTACACTAACATATTTTGTAGTTAGTCAGCAAACAACGAAATGAATTTAGTAGTAAGTTATATCAACAAATCACAACCACGATACTGCTATGACAGAATTTTTAGTAGATTTCGATGCATTAAACTCATTAGTTTACGCAATTCAAACAATTTTTAATGCTGACATACTTCATGATGAAGTTAGTCCCGGTGAATTCAAGGAGTCTGACGGTTTCAATTTAAAACTAAAGGTATCACTTTTCAAGCTGCAGAGAAAATAAACTTGAGTACGACTAAAATTTCTACCAGAACAAGTTAAAAGTGCACTAAACACACAATTAATTACTGTGGTAGTGAAATTACAGTTTGTATGGTGGTATTTACTTAGTTTTCCTCCATCGATAACATAAAAATTCTATGTGCTTATTTGTAGAGTTAAGATCTCAAGTTTACTACCTAAAGTTTAAAATCAATTTATCAATTAATACGATTAGATCTACACGCTTACTTTGTATAATTCCTCATCAAACTGGCTCAGTTGTGCGACTGCTCGCATCGCTTCTTTGCGCATAAAGAAAGGGGTGTACAACGGCATAAAGCCACGTTCATCTAGCATACGTAAAGCCAGGTTGATGATAGCTTGCTCCAAGAAAACGAGAGGTCCCTAGGAAAGCAGTAGAAATAAGTGAAAAAATAGAACCCACATGAGAAGTCATTTGAAGTGCCAAAAAAATAATAACAAACCCTATTACCATGACTAGTTAGTGACGGAAGACTGGAGTATAAGAAATTGGTGGAAATAATTTACTGGCAAAGCATCTGAATTACCACACCTAACTACTCTAATCAACTATCCATTTCCGCGTTACTCTCGACTAAGATTGTTGTGGATTAGGAGATAGTCGTGAATAAAACCAATTAAAACGAAACCCATCACACTTGAGTACATATTCACAAGTTAAAATGCCAAGTTTCCATAGAAATAACAATATATGCTAAATGGATCCAGTGTTATGAGCTGTCATAGTAAAGTCAGATGATTTTAAAGTAATGAAAATGACTCCATTTCAGAAGCCAGCATGTATGTAGAATCAAGGTATTAACAGTGCAGCCAGATGACCTGATTACATACAGGTTTATATATACTAGACTATGGATATTTGGTGTGAACACTAATAGTAATGTCCTGGCACCTATGGAGTGGGTTCCAAACTGATCTGGTACGATCCCACTGACATACACAATGCTATTTGGTGGAGAATATTTATGCTTTAGGCGGATGGTCTTGGTTGTATTATGTTCTCTGAGCTGAGTTTAGTCGGAGCTTTCATCGTCTTTCTAGACGACTTGAGTATGAAGTTAGTGCTGGAGATATCGTCTAGGAGGACGATGAAAGCTCCGACTAAACAACTCGGTTCAGAAAACACAATACAACCAAGACAATGCTATTTATTTGATTTACTTGTGTGCAGGCCCAAGGCACTAAAATAACTATCACAAACAAGACTGAAGAAATTGCACAAGAAGACTTTTGTATATGATTCTCTACAATCGGCTGTGATGTTTAAAATTGTAACTGTATCAAAGGAACAGTGTAGTTCTATGTTACTCCCAAAAATTTTCTATGCTTGAGCCAAAAGCTAGCCCACTGACCTTTAAAGTCAGAGAAAATCAATAGCGATATACTTCTTTGCATAACTTAGGCTTTATGATCATGTAAACCTTATACAAATATAGTGAAATATCACTTTTCTCATTCTCTCTAGTTGTCAAGTAACGGAATCTCGGTTTGCCGGCAGCGTGTGGGGGGGGGTCGACACTTCCCGGCTCCCCACACTGTAATGGACTACGTCTTCTTAAGGTACCTGAAAGAGAAAAGGATTTGTGACACAGCCTTTTCAGGGTTGCTAGTATGAGATTTGATTGTTCTGATGCCGGACAGAGAAAACCCCTACCGCTCGCATATGGAAACAGTGAGGCTATGAGGAGTGTGCTATTTGGGGGCCCGACTTTTCTTTACCCGTGTTCCCAAAGGATGGTACTGTTGGTTATCCAAGGGAAACACCTCACTGCTGTCACACCAAAGCCAGACCGGTACGACTCCGCCTTCGGGTCCCCTTCATAGTGCAGCAGTTTGCAATATAAAGATAATTGCCTTTCATCTTACCAATATTCAACAGACCTTTCTGGCGTGGTAGAACCTCGATGGAACAAGTTTTTCAGTCAATGTAGCTAGCTGGATCATTGTGGCATACAAGCTCGACCACCACGTTAAGGTAGAAGCTATTGGTCATGACAGAGTTTCAGTAGATTATTTTAACTACTCTACAAGAATCAAACTCACTCCCAAGAAATGTTAGACATCTACGGGTATGACTAAAGCCATTGTATGGTGACAGTTTAGTAGAAATCCTCCTCGCCTATTGACAGCCGCTTTTTGGCAGTAGTAAAACGAAATATCAATACATAAACGCTAATAAGATGTGCGATAATAGATAAGTCAATTTACGTCGGATGTCAAATCTGAAACCACCTAAGAAAAGGCTGTTAGTAATAAACAACTGAACATGTATTCAGTTATGCAGCGATACGGTTCGGTGTTTCTTAACTTAGTTTACTTACTACTGTTAGAGTCGTCGCTTAGAATGATTACAGTAGTGCGATTTTGTGCATAACATAAGCCGCTGTAAAGGAAAAATGTTATATAAGAAGCCTGAAATATACACGATTTGATTTGAATGTCAAATTTTTGTGACTTAACATTAAAAAAACTCTAAGACTCCCGATAAAGGATGAGGTAGGAATGATAAAGGTCTAATGTTCATTTACTGGGTAAAAACTTGTGATAAATTTGTTTTCCATTCCCAGTAAATTAACATCGAAGCATATATACTGAATATATTTACTTCAATGAAGTCAATTAACAAACAACAATGAATAGTCATCACGATTTAGACAAAATCTCGAAATACAAAGTTGCAGATGTAGCATCAAGAACGCACACGCTTGTGAAAATTATACGTGGAAATCTCATTTTAGTAACACAGTGATACAGTATCATTTTATTAGATTGCGTTTCGGGCACAATTTACTGTCCGTGGTTACCTTCGTGTGGCTATGGGACAATAAATTCTTCCCGATACGTAATCCAGTAAATGATACTGCTTCACTGCATGAACTGCATTATAAGTCAACAAAAAAAATATATATCCCAACACATGGTTCAGGTTTTACTGTTATATTGGGTGATCATAGGAACTAACCTTCAGAAAATAGCCACGTCCACCAGCAACCACACTTCCACGCTCACCATCATAACCATCCACCATGATCACCAAGTCTACGTGAGAAAACGGTTTCAGAAAGTCACTTTTTCCGAAAGTCGAATAACCAAGTTGTCTTCCTAATCCGTAGAAAAAGTCACAACCATTTGTATTTAACATGTACAAAGGTGAAACGGTATGTTATGAACTAAAAAACAATCGAAGTTATCTGCAATATTTTTTTCAAAGATACATGCAGATTTCTCATTCAGTAAATTACGTATTATAAGTTTGCTAGATTTGTTTTGATACTGGACGATGATTGAGGATGAAATGAAAATCTAGGCTGTTGAAGGATTCGGGCCAGCGACCTTCGGACACCGTATTATTCAGTGATGCTTCTCAGTAGACTGACTGATACGTAAGACTTCGCCGTCAACTCTGATGCTTTTTTCCGAACCCATAATATCTGCCTCGATTCGGCAATACAGGGCAGGTTCCTCGAAGAACATGCACTGCAAATAAGCCAGGCCTATTCTTAGTAAAACTTTTTAACGTTGCTCACAAACATGATAAATATCACCCAGGCGTCTAAATTGACTAAGTTATCGCAATGACCATCTAGTCCTCGGTCTGCGACGTGTAGAAAAATAATAACTTTCAAGTCGGGATCCACGAAATAACCAGTCAATAACAACATGCGACACAGCATTAGTGCGTAATAGTTCAAGTTGCCGCACTACATATCAGCACCTCAAGTGTAAAAGCACTAGGATGGAAAATAAGGAAGTGACGGAGAAAGTCCTCAAAAGTGGTAGAAAGTCATCAAAAGGTAGCAAGGAGGGAAGAAGAAATACTGAAATTCAGTATGACAATTAAGACGAAGATATTGTGTAGATACATCTGCACAACTGAGGCCGATTCGGAGCCATTTCACTTGGATTCTCCAACCATCGACTTTCGTTGTCATGCCTCAGACCAACACTCAAAGACTTTGTAGACTCATAACATGTTTTAGTCTGGCTCCCTATAAAATTCTTCCAGCCTAAACCTACTTCAGTTAACATTATAAGATGGGACAGACGATGACAAGTATGCGTGAGCCTACGAAGGTTTACGACCTTATCAACTGACTTTTCTAGCATCCCAATCTCCGGTAAAGTCTTAAAATGAAGAAAATAGTGCTGCCTATCAAAGTTGTTTGTGATTTCTATTCTTTTTTCTTCTGACGGTATAACTTGCGACATCATCAGTTAGTTAATCCCCAGGTTCATCTTAAAGTTATAGGCTAATTTTGTCATTATCATCATAAAATTTGGCATTGCTACCTGACACTCTTGGTTGTCACACATCACATCACTACAGCAAAGCAGAAAGTAGCAACAAGAAAAAACAAGAACGAAAACATTAGTTGTAAGTAAGCATAAGAGAGTTAACGATGAGGCACTGATGCATTTACACAACTGCCACTGACTTTCAGTCTCATAGAATCTCAAGCGAAGTTATGAGTGTCTCGTGGAAACACCATATTGCTACCAATTGTCGTAAGATGGGGTCGGTAGAAGTTTGCTTCCCCTTCTGGAGCATTTGCTAGGACGGTGATCACGCACTGTCTGGAATTTAATAAACCCAAAAAAACTACAGATACAATGCCATTAGTAGTGCAGCTCGATGGCGAGAATATTACGACTGCTTACAGCAGGAAATTGGCTCGGCATGTATCATAACAGAAAAACACCACTCATCCGGAAGAGGCTTGATATCATCTCAGACCAGCTGTGAAAACAGCTTTAAAGATCATGACTGGCCCTAAGGAAGAGGTTGGGAAGGGTCAGGGGGTCTCTGCACCTTTTACTGAATTTACTGAACTACATCAGCCGTATGCATCTGTGTACTAAGCGAAAATCCACAGAATATGTAAGGGTTAGTGGCACCGCTGTCCAACGTCGACAGGTGAAACGGAATCTAAATAGTGACCCATTGGCTACAGTCCAAATACTTACACAAACTGAGCACCAGTTACATATTAGGGCTTCAAACAATATAGCTTAGCTTTAATTAGTGTCAGACAACCATACGCATCTTCAACGAAACGAATATCACATACCGCTGTAGCCCACCAGCTGGGGAAAGTTATGGTTAACACACTGTATTATTAAAAACAATGTCATCTCACTTCACGAATATTCCACAGATGTGTAGTCTACAAGTACAATGGTTATTTGCACTGAGTTGATCTCAATCTTATGGACATCACTTCTTTGCGCGTTATGTAATGGATTAGCTAGTATCAATTGTTTCTTCCGTACATTTCTTACTCCTCTAAGCAATTCTATTACATGTTATATAGGTTATCAATGACCTTGATGTACAACAAGATAACTGACTTTAAAATTATCTCATGTGCGAATAACGATTGTAATTTTAGACTGTGCGTAGATGATTATTCGTGAAATAAGATGATATAACTCTATTCTGCAAACGTAGTCCACGTTTTGCACAAACACTAATGGCTGCAAACGGTTTTGAACGAGTCTGAACTAACTGGGTATCTTTTTAAGATAGCAGTCCTACACTTTTTTATAACAAAACAGTGGAGTCTGAGTGGACCACATAAAGTTTATTTAGTTAAATTAAGGTGGGAAAAAGAAGCTAATGCAGAGAAGTTTTAGTATTGCCATAATCTTTTAGTTATCAAACTGTGACAAGCTACTTCGACTGACGATAGATATCAGTGGGAATGCATACGTTCTTAAAGATATTTCAGCAGTGAGTAAAGGCTGCTTTTACTACTCTAGCCTTTTGTTCTATGAGTTACGTGGATCATTATTGTTTCTTGTAATTTAGTCTTTATGTTGGTTTGTTTTGAAAGACACGAATGTTTGTCATTTCTGAAGTACAGAGACGACACGACTAAGTTTGACAAAAACCTACAATTCAACAACTTTGGACTTGCTACTAAGTGCCAAGTATGCAGCACCTGAAGATGAATGACTTTAGGGTCATATAGGAAATCAACCAGCTTTTGGCATCGCAATGAAGTAATAAAATGATATCGATTTAAGTAAATTTCAGCTGAATGAGCCACTAGATATATACTTTTTGCAGCACAAACTCAGTACACAACAGCTTATAGGAAATATGAAACTAGGGAAGTAATATCGCCGAATTGAGGGTATGCTTATAAACACTGCTTATTAGTATTGAGTGGAAACGATAAAATTATGCATACCTATGGATTCAGTCAGCACTGGATATCTTGAGCTATTGCATCGCAGTGTTTGAAACTCACATATGGAGATGTGATGCAGAACCGTAGAGCTGTGACCCACTGGTTTAGAGATTTAAGTGGGTCGCGGGTTGGAACCCCGATCCACCTGCTGAGGAGTGGGCTGCCAGGTAGCATCATTAGCCTTCACACAATGGATTTGGCTCGTTGTCTATCACACGAGCGTGCACATGGATGCTGAGTACACTTAGGTTGCATTTGATTGGATGAAGAATCAAACGATACTACCCCCGACAACTGCACGCAGTATCAAACTTTTCTCCTCTAGTTTTACATCAGTCCTATTTTTATGTCAGGCGTGATTCCTAGGACATTAACAGAAAATATTCATGACTTCACAGTTACCTAGAAACAACCAGAAAGCAAACTTTACGATCAACAAACACTTAGTGGATCAGAAATCTCCTAGCTTTTAAGAACATGCTGTACCTGGATACACATACTATACCTACTATCATTTCTGCAAGTGACTCAACAAAATCCTGCAAAAGAACTTTGTTTTTCGCTCCAACATCAAAAAATTAGCATAAATCCAAAGAGTCTTCTGAACACTTTGAGTGGAAATTTGAGAATGTTTGGGATGCGATTTTCACCACCCAAATGCAAATTTTTGCTCCAGGACTGGTCTTCAGCGGTACCGCGGTTAACAATAGAGAGTGAAGTGGTTGAGTGTGTTGACCACTTCACTTACCTGGGAAGTAGGATCAACTCCGGTGGGTTAGTTGCCGATGAGATTTCTGCACGGATACAAAAGGCTCGATTGGCTTTTGCCAATTTGCGCCACCTATGGCGCCGCCGTGATATTCGTTTGTCTATTAAGGGTCGCGTGTACTGCACAGCAGTCCGCTCTGTTCTACTGTATGGCTGTGAAACATGGCCATTGAAAGTGGAAGACATGAGAAGGTTACAGGTATTTGACCACCGTTGCCTTCGTAGTATAGGACGTATTCCGTGGTGTCACCATGTGAGTAATGCAGAAGTTAGGTGTAGAGTTTTAGGGAGAAGAGGTAAGTCAGTCGACGAGGTTGTGAACCTTCATCGACTGAGATGGTTGGGACACGTACTACGTATGCCTAGTCACCGATTGCCTCGTCACACAATGTTGGCTGAGGTGGGTTCAGGCTGGAAAAAGGCCCGAGGTGGCCAGACTAAAACATGGCACCAATGTATGAAGTCTCTGACTGTTGGTTTAAGCCATGTAGGACGATGCAGACTAGGTGGTTGGGGTCCACGGGACAAGAGGAACCAGTGGTTGGAGACCCTAGGTGATATGGCTCAGAACCGAAGTCAGTGGCGCAGATGTATACACACATTATCCTCATCTTAACAACGCTATACCGAATCTCACTATTTTGTCACTCCTCTTTCCTTTCTTCTCATACTTTATATTTCTTTTGACTGCATTCACTTATCTTCATCCTTCACCTCACTACCTTTTTACTTGATGTGCTGATATGAGGTGTGGCAACTCGGACCGTTACGCAGTAATGCCTGGTCCTATGTTGATAGTGATGATGATGATGAGCATAAATCCATGGCCAGACGGGAAAACAAAAACAGCAGGACCAGATACAGCGGGGTTTTAGCTCATTAATACACTTCGCAATTAGCATGAGGCGAAAGTCAAAACAGGGAAGCTGTTTTAGAACCAGTAACAGTAGTGGCTGAGAATTACAGTACAAGGTAAATGAAAACAAGCTCCAGTAGGTAAACAATACAGAACCTCAATGTATCTGATATTTGTAGTTGAACAAGAATTGTATATGTATTGTATTGTATTGCATATGTATATCCACAGGATAGGCTGACTTCCATCGCCTACATTTTACATACACTTCTCCCGACCGATAG